AGACGCCTCCATGTGTGAGGTGTTTATTTAAATGGTAAGTTTCTGCTGCTGCTGCCAGGCGGGCACACATGGAGGAGAGGAATTTTTAGATATTTCACCTCAACATCTGGTTGTCAGGCAGACCTGTGGAACAGCACCAGCGACTTTCATGTCTGAGATGTTTATGGCCACACAAAAGCAGAAAGGCTGAGCCGCTCTTCCAAAGCTGACTTGTTCCTCTGTGGTCTTTTATAGACAGGGTTTGTCCTGCGTTCAAATTTACGTGGCGGCCGCCTCCAGCTATTTTTGTGCCACTCCAGCCTGATCTCACTCTGCCCCCAGCTATATGGACTTTATTTTAACTGCAGTTGCAGCGTTGTTCCACTACAGGGGCGCTGTATCAGCAGCGGTGCACCGAAAGCGCAAAAACCGCTGAAGAAGATCAAAAATTGCTTTTCTCGCTAGTTGGTACATATCTGTGGTTGGTGCTATTGACGTCCAGATTTTCCCCCAGGCTCTTCCACATCAGAGCAGGGCTGTACAGTAAGGTGAAAAAAACTGTCTGTGCACGTCTGTCTATTTTTAAATGTAGTACTGGTGCAATATCTTTGAATTACTATTTTCCCCAGAACTTTATTGAACAAAAGTAAGTTATGTGTAAGAAAAATGCTTTTTACTGGCGCACAGTGTTGTCATCTGGATGCTGTGGATGAAAATAAAGGAACCAACAAAGGCACAAAGGCAGAACCGGTCCAAAGTTTGTAATCAGAAGTGCAGCTACACGCAGATTGGCTAATGCTAAAGCTAATGGGTAGCAGTCTCACGATCAAGTGGCACATAGAAAACTATATGATGATGGTAAAAACTAAGAAAGACTAAACTCTACAAGCGGGTGAAAAGTCCCCACCATCCTGCAGAGCTACAGATGAGAACAGCTGCTGATAGGAGTCACATTACTGCTACAAGTCTGCTCCACACAGGAGCAGGAAGTACGGCAAGCCGTTGTAGTATATAATTCACAAACGCTTCTATCTTTGAACATAATTTAAACTGGATTATTGCCAACCCGTACATAATAGACATGCTACCATTACATGGTTAGCAGCAGAAATTAAATGCAATATATTTACTGGATATATTTATGAGTTATTTTGACTAAGACAAGTGTTATTAATACAAACCTAAAATGTTACTGAAATGTAGGTCAAATATTTAAAAATGTTTTAACTATAAATATCAGATGGGGAAAAGGGAACTAAACACCAGCTTAGGTGTGCTCTTGCTTTGTCTTTGTAAATCCATGCTTTCGTTCTTTTTTAAACACAGAAACTGCGAAACTGTAGCTACAAACAGATAAACACCAGCTGATTAAAGTTGGGCGTAAGGACCCGTTCTACTGTGCTGTGGTCTATCGTCCACCTGGTCCAAACAGTTCTTTCCTTCAGGAGTTTAGTGACTTTCTATCCTCCACTGTGAAACTGTCCAGACTGGTGATTGTTGGTGATTTTAACATCCACATTGATGATCCCTCTGATCACTTTGCCATGAATTTCTCCAGCCTTATGGACTCCTTCAGCCCTTAAGCTTTACCCAGCATGTTTCTGGCCCCACACACACCAGGGGGCACACTCTGGACCTTGTTTGTACCCTGAGTCTAAATGCTGACAGTGTTTGTCCTGAGGACGTTTATATTTCAGATCACTATTGCATTTTCTTTAACTTGTCAGTTTCTGCATCCCCACCTCCTGCTTGCCGTATGGTTAGTTTTCATTTTCTTAATGAGAGCACAGCTAGAAATGTTTCTGCTGCTTTTGATCCACCCTGTTCTTCTGATAACGACCCAGATTCCTTAACTTCTCAGTTTAACGAGCACTGCCTCTCCATTCTGGACAATATCTGTCTTGTCAGAACCAGATCAGTTCCTGCAGTGAACCCTACTCCCTGGTTTAATGACAGCCTTCGCAGCCTAAAGCGCCAATGCAGAAAAATTGAGCGCTTGTGGAAGAAAACCCATCTCCACGTCCATCTGCTGCACCTAAAGGATCTTCTGACATCCTTTAACTCTGCAGTCAGAGACGCGAGGGTTTCCTATTTTTCCAACCTGGTGTCCCAGAGCAAAGGGAATCCCAAGGTGCTGTTTAACACCATCAGCAGCATTGTCTCTCCTGCCTCTCTTACAGCCTCCATCCACTCTGTTGCAGATTGAGAACTTTCTGTCTTTCTTTGTGGACAAAGTCAATAAGGTTAGATCTAGCATCTCTCCTTCAGCCTTATCGCTGCCTCTCCCGACTCCAACCAGGCCCATCATCCTAGATAGCTTTGCTCCTGTTTCTTTGCCTGAGTTAACCAAACTAGTTAACTCTATGAAGACCTCTGCATGCCCCCTCCACATCTTACCCTCATCTTTGTTTAAAAGTGCTTTTCAGTCCATCGGTCCCAGCGTGCTCTCCATTATTAATGCTTCTCTGGTTTCTGGTCAGGTCCCTGCTTACTTTAAGAACGCTGTAATCCACCCGCTTCTTGAAAAAACGAGTCGACCCCTCTCTCCATAGCAGCTTCAGACCCATCTCTATTCTTCCATTCGTCTCCAAGATCTTGGAAAAGGTTGTGGCTAAACAACTCACAGCTGCTTTTGATGAACAGATTTTCATAGAGTTCATTCTACTGAAACAGCTCTTCTTAGGGTCTCTAATGACCTTCTGACTCACAGTGATGCAGGGGACTTTTCTGTTCTGGTCCTGCTGGACCTGACTGCAGCCTTTGACACTGTTGACCATCACCTGCTACTGGAGAGGCTGAGAGACTGGGTAGGCCTATCAGGAACTTCTCTGGAGTGGTTCTCCTCTTATCTTTCTGAGCGCTCCTTTTCTGTGGCCGTCTCCAAGTTTAGGTCCTCCACCATCTCCCTTACCCATGGTGTCCCACAAGGTTCTGTGCTGGGGCCTCCAATAATCGCCCTTCCCGTCCTCAGATCCTTCTAAATCTTTGACGTAAACATTAATGGCATTAACGCTGACACCAAAAACCAGGAACTTTCTACATTTCCTAGTTTTGCTTAATTTGCACCAGACTCTTGAGCAATCTGTTGTGTAACACACGGCTGACATCGGGCTTCAGAGGCGAGCTCGGTGAGAATTTAGTCTTCCATCCAGCCCATGGTTTGAATCACTCCTTTAGACCCAAAACTAGGTTCACTGCTCTCGAGTGGTTCTTCTCTTATCTTTCTGAGTGTTCCTTTTCTGTGGCCGTCTTCAAGTTTAGGTCCTCCACCATCTCTCTTACCCATGGTGTCACACAAGGTTCTGTGCTGGGGCCTCTGCTCTTCCTCCTCTATCTGCTTCCTCTTCAGCACATCCTGAGCTCCTTCAAAGGAATCTCCTACCATCTTTATGCAGATGACATCCAGCTGTACATCTCCTTTAAGCCCCATGAGCTGTCTAAGCTGCAGCTGTTACACACCTGCTTAGACTATTAAAACCTGGATGGTGGGAGCTTTCTACAGCTGATTGAAGATAAGACTGAGATCCTCATCTGTGCCCCAGACAAAATGGTTCCCAAAGTCAGAGACTCTCTTGGTCAGCTTGCTTCTCACACCAAACCCTCTGTCAGGAATCTTGGCTTGACCTTTGACCCAACTCTCACCCTGGATTCTCATGTCATTTCTCTTGTTCACTCTTCCTTCTTCCATCTCAGGAACATTGCTAAGCTGAGTCCCATTCTGTCTCGCTCTGAACTTGAGACAGTTCTCCACTCCTTCATCTCCTCACGCTTAGACTACTGTAACTCTCTTTTCACGTGTCTGAGCAGAACCTCCCTGAACCATCTACAGGTGGTTCAGAATGCCTGTGCTCGGCTTCTCCCCCGAGCCTGAGATCAGTGGACTCCTTCACCACTCTCTCTTTCTGCTATTCTGATTCACTTCTGCTCTGCCTACCTATTCCACCTTCCTCAGGATCTACTGATTTCCCTCTTTCCTATTCACTCTCTCTCTTTCTTAACATTTCTTAACTCATTCACTGCCAGCCATTTCCTGATCACTAACGGCCTTCGCTGCCAGCGTTTCTCACTGTTTTTAATGTTTTTTTAAGAGTCACAGAACGTTGCGTGCTAGCATGATGTCGAGGCCAAAACAACCAAAACAAAGAGGAGACTCACCTCTTACATCAGGAAGAGTCTGCGTGTTTCGAGCGTTATCCGTTCTTTCATAATCCGTTGTTGAATTGTGATCGGCAGACGCTTTTCCGGTTCGCGCCTCACTTTTTTTTTACAGGAACGGCCCAAAACAATCTCCTAACACATGGATGTTCTGCTTTCTGATCACGTGACATGTGACGTATGCTGATGAAGATCGGCTTCAGGGCTGAGATGTTTGTTCTCTCAGCGCGGGGGCTCGTTCCGATGCTCAAACAGTAAAAAAAATGCAAATGACGACTTTAGTGGGTGGCATTTCATTTAGAGCCACCGTCTATTGGTGCAGATCATCAGCGAGCCCCAGGACGGCCCTGCAGAGCGTCTGATGGTCTTATTAAAGACGTTTGATCTTCATACGGTTTCAGACTGCATCTAGTCCGACCTGCTAATCATCTCAGAACCTCCGGTTTATTTTAATAATCATTAACGGGTTGGACGTCAGACAACAGGAAGTTGTCACAAATGTGGGAAGCTTTAAAACCATTTATTGTGTCTGCATTTTCTCTTAAAGGGGAACCCACATGTTTGTTTAGTCAAGTGCTCCTGGGTCTGTTTGCTGAAGTGGGTCTGCTTCATTACTACACCAGCATATGTATGAGTGAGAAGAGCAGGAGGAGCTTGTGACCAACTTTAAGCCCTAAAAGTCGTTATTCTAAGTTTCTGTCTGAGGTTTTACGTCCTCTGCAGCAGAATGAACCGGTTTTCTGTCAGATTTCTGCCCAACGCTCCTCCATCGGTGTGAAACCTTCACTTAGTAAATGTTAACCACTCCAACAGCCAATCTGTGACAACAGCTGGCTGTTTCTGATGTTCTCTCATCTTGTTTCCAGGGGAAGGAGGCCACCGTGGAGCCATGGGAGGACACCGACTTCCACCTGTACAAAGTCATCGACCGCTTTGGATTCGTCCAGTAAGACTAATGTCTCGCTGAGTTAAAGTCCTCCCCAGCCGCCGTAGCAGAGAGCAGAAAGACTGTGTGGTTGTCCTCCTGAACAGGCCTGTGGTGGTGTTTTATATAAATAGGCTGGCACACGCAGGCAGGAAAGAGCCTGGTTAGCCACAATCACAGAGCATCAGTGTTGGCATCAGACCCGGCGGTGGAGGATGGACGCAGGCAAAAAGGAACGTCCTCTGGGTTACTTGATGGTTTGAGATGGGGACAGAAGAGTCCTGAGGTGGAGGACCCAGACCAGAGATAAAAATATCAGAGGCAGTTCAGAGCAAAGGTCCAGATTTTGTGTCGTACCCGCTCTACCCGAACAACCTCTGTCTGGGAAAACTTCAGGAATGTTTTAATATTCCTGCCATGATGCCGGTGTGATGTGAAACTCTTGGAGGGGTTAAGTTGTCTAAATAACCCGGGACTGAGGAGACTGGAGGTCTTAAGGTGGCGTCATTTGGAATTCTAGGATGTGCAAGGAAGATCCCGCCTTTCTCGTCTCTGATTGGCTAGAAAGGCTCTACTACGATTGGCTATTTCATTTAACAGCAAACTGGCTGTCCTCGCTACGTGCTGACTGTGTCCCTCTGCCACCAGCAGAAAGCTGTTTTGAGGAGTTTAGTGAAGAAGATGTGAACTTAGCGCTAGAATAAACATTCTGTCCTGGTTTGCAAAATGTTTTATGTTTCATAAAAAAAAACTGAAAAACATAAAATGTGAATTTAAATCTTGTTGCATTTATCAAACTGTTGGACTTACTTTATATCTCTTGGCTCTGAAGCATTAGAGTACACAGGATAAACATATGTTCCTTACCTGGGTGTGGTATTTTAATAAAACTGCTCTCTTCTGCCCAGCTGTGTGCATCAGGTCTGTTTCTTCTCTGGAATAATGAAAACTGGTGAAAAACAGGTCTAAATCATGATCAGCTTTAACTTAAGTTTTGATTAAATGATACACGTTTAATCTGATGATGAGAGATGTGCTCTAACTTGTAAACAGCCTTAACCTGTTAAAGCAGGATAGCCTAATAATGAAGTAATAAGATAACCCCAATAGAGCCAACAGATATAAAGTCAAGCCTGATTCGTGATTCTAATAATAATAATAGCCTTTATTGTCATTGTACAGGATACAACGAGTGCCACTCCCTTGGTGCACAATACTATAATACTTCTAAATATAAAGGTCCCCTAAAACAAAACAATAGTAAGCAACAAAATAATAGTAAGTAATATAAGCCGACTAGCACACTATATACAGAATAGCAGCTACCATGTCATGTAAAAAATGGCATTAGAATAGCAGCATAATAGTTGACGGTGACATTGACAGTCGCTAAGCAGTTTTAATTGTTTTTATGCTTATTTACTGTAGAGATCGCCCTGGGAAAGAAGCTATCCCTGAATCTGTTTGACCTGGTTTTATGTGACCTGTACCGTCGACCTGATGGTAATAGTTGAAAGACGTGATTGCTGGGGTGAGATTGGTCCTTGATGATACTGCTCGCTCTGCTGAGGTACCGAGAGTTTGCAATGACCTCCAGGCTGGACAGAGAGCAGCCAGTGATCTTCTGGATGCTCTCAGTGCGGAGACACGCAACGTCCTTGCGGGCCTGCCGGAGAGCTCCGCAAGGACGGACGGAGTCGAGCTCTCTTTTCTAAACATCCGTCCGTCGAGACGGAGAACGCAAGCTTGTGATTGGTCAGGGCACCGCTGTCGTCTACACCGCCGCCATTGCGCCCTCAAAAACATAAAGAGCCGAGGATAACTAGCGGCAGACACGGAGAAGCTTGAAGAATACCTCACGAAAAAACTCTAAAAACATGAATGTTTAATTCCCCGTGACTGGAGGAGTGAAAAGATGTGCAGCAAGCATTTTATTTGTGGACGGAAATGACAGGAAACGTGGGTTTAGAGGTGGGGAGCGCATGAAGAGGTGGAGGAGAATGAGAGACAAATTTGTCTGTGTTAAAAAGTCTCTTATATACAAAAAGCACAATATAAACACACTATCTTGGACCGATACATGACAGGATACCACAGAACAGCACTACGCCCTCTGTTGTCCTGGCGGGGAATTGCTTTGCAACACTCTCCAGGAGACGGAGAAGTATGAGAGCAAAATGTCTCCGTCCATGTGTGCCTCTCCCTGTTGGAGCTGACGCAGAAGCATGAATCAGGCTTTAGTCTACAGTGTGATAAAATGCTACAAGAATTATTACAAGTTCACATTTGATGTTTTTCAGGTTCTTTCATGAAAGAAACTGAACCTGGTTTGTTGCTAAACAGGAAAGGATGTTTATTATAGCGACAAGTTCACGTTTCTTCAAAAAACTCCTCAAGATCTGGCTGTACACATAAAACCCTGCAGCGAGGGGAAACGGTTTCCTCTTACATGAAAAAGCCAGTCGCAGGAGAGCCCTTCCAGCCAATCAGAGGCGAGAAAGGCGGGACCTTCCTTGGAATTCCAAATGATGCCTTAAGGTGGTTTTAGGGCTTTCTGTAAATGTAATTCACTAGCCGTTAGCCTGTCAGTCCTGTAAGTGATTCAAATGTTCACACAGACACAAACAAGCCAAATGGTTTAAGAGTTTGTGAGGAACTTTAACAAAGCTGAGAGTTTCTCCCCGAAATCGCTCCAAATCAACATTTTTTTGCTGATAAACTATATAAATGAGTGTCAGATCATGCTGTAGACAAATGTAGTCAATAATTTGGCATTTTAGTGCATCTTAGTTAAAATTTAAATATTTTGCCTAAAACTGTCAGCGACGCACCGTCGTCAGGCAAAAACTCAGCACTGCATTTGAATTGAAATCTGCCATCGCTATTGGCTAAGAGGTACACAATGATGCTTGATGGTACATTATGATGTCTTAATGTCGTGTGTGTGTGTGTGTGTATTTGTTAGCGGCTCCACCCTCTCAGTCTGCTAGGCAACAGCATTTGTTGCATTTTTCAAACAGGAAGTGGGAGTTGAGTAAGAATCTGGTCGTGGGTGACTTGCTCTTTAAAAATCAGATTTTATCTGAAATATTAAAACATCTGAAGATGAATAAAAATACACAGAAATTAACAAATTGTTGATTTTTCTAATCAAACCAAAAGAAAAGGAACTTGTGAGTTTATTTTGGTGGAAATGACATCGTCTTCATCATCAACTTCATCATCAGTGTCATCTTCATCATCATCTTCATCAGCACGACATAATCTTCAGCCAAAAGGAGAAAAAAAAGAACAAACTACTGAAACATATTTTCTTACTTCCTGTTTGTTCGGCCAATTTTAAGGCGAACAGCCAAACGAAGACGTCTCTAAAACTCCTACAGAGATCAGAAACTCAGATTAACAGAGTTGGGATTGAAGGACTTGTTCCTTCCTGCTGGTGTGGCGTTCCTGGATGAAGCATGTTATAAACGTGTTATAAACACCCAAACGCGTTACGCTGAAATCTAAACTTTTACTCATGAACAGCTTAAAGTTTCAGGCTGTGATTATTTTTTCTCTCCACAGTGAAAACGAACTGCCGTCCACCGACTCGCTGGAGGAAAAGGTGGGTGGCCTTTGTTTGTTTTAGCTTATTGGTTAAATGTTTATTTATTTAGTTATTGTTTTACAATTAAAATAAACAACCAAAATATTCTAATAAAATGAAATTTCATGACTTTTCTGTCGCTTTCAATCCAGGGCTTTCCCACTTTTCCAGCTTTTTTTGTGCCAATGGGAAACTATTTTAGCTTTAAACTCAAAGATTTAGTCTGGAACCGGGCAGGATTACAGAAAAATAAGTTTTTGCATAAAGAAACGTTTTGTTTGAGAACAAAAAATCATTTTTCTTCAAAATGACAATTTTTAATCTTCCTGTGAGACTTTTTAAACTAAACTTTCATTATTTTCTGTTTCCCTCCCAAAAAAAGTTGATATTTATGATAATCAACCTTCATGTTCCTCATTTATGAAGCAGAAACCAGAAAATCTAAAGAAAAACAAACAGTCGAGTTGTTTTTGACGACGGCGCCACGGAGAAGGTGCTGTAAAATAAACTATTCACATTTGGTTT